AAAGAAAAGGCAGAGTCCACTGGGAAAAAAGGAAAGAAGGGGGCCACTGGTCAGACCCAGAAGCACCAGCAGAAGGAACAGGCTCAAATGCCTTTGTCACCACACTGGATGGGGCATCCCCCGAAACAGCCCGAGTCTCACCACCAATTAAACCCTCCCCCAGCTCCGAAGCCCTCAGATGCTTAGGAGCCAGGTGCAGGGGGTGGGGGGGGGGGAGAGATAGGACGAACAACAGTAGGGGGAAGGACAAAGGGGGGCAGACAAAACAAAGTTGAGGCGACTAGCGGCTCCAAGTCCAGGTCCTTATAACCAAAACATGGCAGTCCTGGGGCATCCAGGTGAGCATTTAACCTAGGGCGCTGCAGAAACCTAAAACACGCATGCAACGCCGACGCCGCCTGCACCCGAACATCAAGATCAGTGGATTGGGCGAATTGAAGTTCAAGCAAGGAACACCACTTGGAGTACTCCGGGTCGAAGATGTCACCGATCCAACAGGCAGCATGACAGAAACAGAACTGGTGACTGTCACCCCTGAGACAAGGGGTCAGAGCAACCTTCAAACTCGCACGAAGCGATATGGGACGCAGGGGATGCATAGATTGGACTGACCACTGAGTCCCAGCGGGGTTTCCAAGGCCCTTAGATGCTTTGCTAAGGAAAGCCCCAGGCAAGGTACTGCCAACCGGTGCCCCAAACTACTAAACGAACTACTAAGTGTTGAACCCCTGTGACATGTACACTCACGGGGACCTAGCGGAGGACCATAAAGAAAAAAAATATATATAAGGGTCAACACCACCAAGAGGCAGACCCCCCTCACCAGGCAGCAAACAGAAATAAAATAAAAACCTCGCATGAGGACAACATCAGAGGCGGAACAGAGCTGGCCGCTGTATTATGGTGAAAACAAGCTGCACAGTACCTTGCGCCCCTACCAGTGACGAAACTACCTCTTACCCAGAGACAAACAGTGGTGCATGAAACACCCCAGCTGACTCCAAGGTGGGCAATCACCGAGCAGCAAAAGATAACAGCGGAGGTAGACCCCATGTGAGTTGTGGAAGAGAATCCCAAGCCCCAAGGGAAGCACTTACAGGGCACCTAGGGAAGTTAACCCTAGGAGCATGCAGCCTGAGTACTGGTGAAACTACTCCTGGCTCGCACACCAACACGGAACAGGACCATACCACAAGGCACAGTACTGGAATGTCAGAAGCCAGAGTCGCATGACTGCCAGGTCTCACATCAGCCTCAGAACTGGAGGTGGATAGCCAGCGCAGTTGGGGGGGGTGGGGAGCTTCCCCCTTGTGCAGACAGTGGTGCAGTGACAGTTGTGACGTCATGCTCGTTTGCTCGTTTTTAGTTTGAGGAGTTCTGTTCAACAGTTCGGGTTTCAGTAGCAATTTTTTAACCAGATGGGTTTGTTTGGGGCACCTACCTTTCTGGGTGCCTGACCCGGTCGATGGCAGATATAGAAGGATTTCAATAACACGGGTGTTTCTATATGACATTGCTCCTCGTGTCTCTCTGAGGGGGCCAGGTTCTGGCTTGTAGTCCCCGGAAGACCTAAGAACTCCATTTGTTGACTGATGCCACAGTCTAACACATTCATATCAGCCCAGATAGCTCCTGGGAGCCGAAGGGGCCTCCCCCCCCCCAGAAAACTATGCAGTATTTCTTAACCACTAAAAATAAAAACTTTAAAGAAGAAAACTGTAATAAGAAGCAATCACAAAATATATAAAAAAACAATGTTGAATATAATGAAATGCCAATTTCTTGGTGATCCCCAGTGGCTCCCTGAAGCTACTATCACTTCTTATAGTGTATCATCTACTAGGTCATATCAGTCACAAAGGCCTGATGTGACCTTGGCCATATAGGCCTACCAGGGACCAGTGCCAGAGCCTAGCCCCCTCACAAGGGCACAGGGAGCAGCGGCATTAATGCATTTATTTATACCACCACTGGGAGAGGTAACCAGAAAGTCAGCAAGACAAAACAATTTCCTGCTGGCTTCAAATGAGACCAAAGCCTCGAGAACTGCTGAAAGAACTCTCCCAACAATGGAAAGAAATAATGAAATCTTGTGAGACTAGCCCATTTGCCCCCACCTCTCCAACTCATTTAGAAGGAGGGAAAAGGCAACTCCTAGTCAGCCAGCTCAAACACCTTCAGCTCAATGAGAGATGCAAGCAACCCCAGACAACCTGGAGGGAGGGAGGGAGGCTGTCAGAGAGCCATTGGGACTTGCTGTGGCATGGACCACAGATGCTGTGGGCCACAAAGGAAAAGGAAGAAGTAGTGCAGACAGAACCAAGATAGAAGTTATCACATATCTCCAACTGAGGGACCTAAACACCAAGGGGGGAGCTCTATGGCATCCAACCCAGGACTGCTGCAACACACATCCAAAGAAGTCACCACTGGATAAGCCTGACCCATAGCAGGAGAGCCATAATGAAGAGCAACATAGGGAGAGTGAACCCCCACAGCACCCAAGGTCAAATGTGTCACCGACTCAACCAGCAGCACAGTGGAGGAGATAGACTGAATGGCGCCAATTGGCCCAAGAAGTGTACAACCCTCAAACTTACCTGAACCCAGTACAGGGTTGATGAGAATACCCAGGGCCCTACAAATCTGCAGGGATTTCTGGGTCCCAAAGGAATTGACCAAGCAAGACACCTAGACAATGGAACACAGACCTAACGAATGAATCTTTATCGAATATGGACATGGAGATGACGTAGTAAGCTAACACAGCATCTGCTTATACACCTCTGAGGGCCTACTTTGGCATGCTACAGCATAGCATGCAAATAACCAGTGTGCCCAAGGCATCCAATAACACTCGTGACCTAAGTAAAGGCAGGAAAATACAAAGACACCTGATTGGTACCTGCTTGATGGGGTTCTGGGAGTTCCTCTACTCCCTAAGCCCAGCCAGAGGCCAGGCTTGACTTGTAAGACTTTGGTCCAACAGGCTGTTGCTTGGAGTGGCCAGCAGGACCAGATATCCACCACAGTTCGGTTGGTACAGTACTTCTTTTAGAAAACAATCTAGTTTTCTCTTCAAGATGTCCACGGTTGTTCCCGCAATATTTCTCATGCTCGCTGGCAGGATGTAGAACAACAGTGGACCTCTGATGTTTATAAAATGTTCTCTGAGTGTGCCTATGGCATCCCTGCTTTTCACTGGTTCTATTCTGCATTTTCTTCCATATCGTTCACTCCAGTATGTTGTTATTTTACTGTGTAGATTTGGGACCTGGCCCTCCAGTATTTTCCACGTGTATATTATTTGATAAATATCTCGTCTCCTTTCTAGTGAATACATTTGGGTAGCTTTGAGAGGATCCCAATAATTTAGGTGCTGTATTGCGTCTATGTATGCCATATATGTTCTCTGTACTCCCTCTATTTTTTTATTTTTTATTTTTTTTGAGATATATACAAGAGTTGTTACATTCTTGTACAGCCACTAGTACATGTAGCGTTTCGGGCAAGTCCCTGGAATACGACCCCCGCCGCGAAGAATCGTTGTTACAACCAAGTACTCATTTTACTGTTGAGTTAAACAGAGGCTACAGTTAAGGATTTGCGCCCAGTAAATCCTCCCTGGCCAGGATACGAACCCATGACAAAGCGCTCGCGGAACACCAGGCGAGTGTCTTACCACTACACCACGGAGACTGGTGTAGTGATGTAGATTTCAGCAATCTCTCCTGCTGAAAGTGTGTACTGAGCAGTACTGAGCTGAAAGTGTGGGTGGAAGTGTGTACTGAACAGTACTCAAAATGGGACAGCACAAGTGATTTGAATAGTACAACCATTGTGATGGGATCCCTGGATTTGAAAGTTCTCAAAATCCATCCTATCATTTTTCTGGCTGATGCAATATTTGCTAGGTTATGCTCCCTAAATGTTAGGTCATCAGACATCATTATTCCCAAATCCTTAACATGTTGCTTTCCTACTATGGGCAGATTTGATTGTGTTTTGTATCCTGTATCATGCTTAAGGTTCTCATTTTTACTGTATCTGAGTGCCTTGGAATTTATCACTGTTAAACGTTATGTTATTTTCTGCTGCCCAGTCAAAAATTTTATTAATATCTGCTCATAATTTTTCAATGTCTTCAGCAGAGGTAATTTTCATGCTAATTTTTGTGTCATCTGCAAAGGATAACACAAAGCTGTGACTTGTATATTTGTCTATATCTGATATGAGAATAAAGAAAAAGCAGTGGTGCAAGAACTGTACCCGGAGGTACAGAGCTAGGACTTGATTTTATTTGATTGACTGTTACTGTGTTCTGTTCAAATGTAAATTGAGTATCCACCGTCCTACTTTATCAGTTATTCCCATTGACCTCATTTTGTGTGCTATTATGTCAAGTAAGATACTTGACTTACCTTGGACGAGGGCCACCACAAGCAAGGAGGACCTCCAAGGGAGTGACCCCTGAACACCCCAGGGTAAAGAACCCTTGAGTGCAAGGGCAGCACTAGGAAGCACACAGGGAAGATCCAGTGCGCATGCAGCTCCAAGCACTCATGACGTCCAGACTCACGCAACACTGCATATTGTACAGGAATGGCCAAAAGACAAAAACCACCACTTAGGTGGAACAGCAAAACACTGGAGTCCAGGCAGCAGAGAAGTGACCAGGCACACACTACACACATCTGCATAACACTGAGGGTGTTGAAGCTGGCTGACAGGGACCTACCTTTCCCCTTCCCCCAAACAAGTAAGGGAGGTGGGGCAAATGAGCACCGAGCTAGTTTCAAGATATTTTAATCATTTGCTCATCACATTGTTGTGGAGTTCTTTTGGCAGTTCTTGAGCCTGCAGACTCGTTTAAAGCCAGCAGGGGTTTGCTTTGTCTCACTGGCTTTCTGGGTGCCTTCCACAGTGGTGGCATAAATAAATACATGAATGTCAATGCTCCCTGCACCTTTGTGAGTGGGCCATGTTCTGGCACTGGTCCCTGGTAAGCCTATAGAACTCTGCAGCAATGCGACCTAATAAATGTACACAATTAGTGATAGTAGCTTCAGAGAGCCACAAGGGGTTTCCCCCAGAATTAGAGGTATAATTGACTTACTTCTTCTTTTCTTTTCAAGTTTTTTAGCCCTTTTGGCAGCCCTTCGTGCCTTTTCCTCCTTCTCCTGTTCCTCTCGACACCGATGGAAGTTCTCCACCACAACACCCACGAACATGTTTAATACAAAGAATCCCACAAGTAGCAAAAACGAGATGAAGTACAAAAGCCGCCACTGAGAGTAGTTTTCTATTGGCTGAGGGAATTAAACAGTAATAAATAAATTTGCAGATTAGTATGTTCAAATTCTATTACATATTGGTCATATAGAGAGATGACTTTGATACTTGCAATTAACCCCTGCACTGCGCTCAACGAGATATCTCGGCTGACGAATGGTGCACTCGCTGAATTTTTTTTTTTTTTTGGTATATTGTAAGACTGATAACTCATACGTGGTAACCTGAATAACAAATGGATGCCTAGGGCCTTCAGTGAGCATCCACTATCTTGAAAAAAAAAAAAAAAATGCCCACGGCAACTCGCAGGTCTTGAATCACCTACATAATCGGTTTCGGGAGTCTCCTGCACAAGTGACCACAATTTTTGTGAAGACATAGCTCAAATTCTTTGCTTCACTGCAGCTACAATAAGTGGAATTTTTTGTATTTTTTTGTATTTTCATGATCAGGGAAGGGATTTTAACAATATACAAAGAAAAAAAAAATGAGGGGGGAATCCTTTTTTAACGCACACCACAGGGTTGTCATATTAAACGGGTGCACAGTGCAGTGGTTAAGGATCTCAATTAATAATAATAAGACAACATTATAAATCATTCTCTAGTTTTAAATTGCATTTATAATTAAACTTATAATTTATGTATCTATACCTGCATATCAACCCCTACAGCATCCAAGCCAGTATACATGATATTGACCCATCCGTCCTTGGATGAGAGCACAAACAAAGACATAAGTGCCTGGCCAAGGTCATCAAAATTGTACTTTCGGTTGAGCCAGAGATTCCCTTTAATTGCAAGACAATCTGTCTTAGTGATGATATTCTTGAGATTAGGCCCATCACAGTAATAGAAGGAACCCTTGAACAGCTGAAAGGAAAAATTATATTTTATACATTTTGTAGAAGCTTTTTGATAAATAAAATTATGTATAATTATATTATTAATAACACGGTACTTTCTTGATCCATTATCAATTGACTTAAATAAAATCCTTAAGAGGATTACTGTACAATTATTCCTGTTTGGAGAGTTGCCCAATAGAGTCAACACGACCTAATCCCAGCTATCTCCTAGACTTCATCTCACCTGCTACTATCCTAATTGTGTGTACTATATATATATATATAGTACTCTCATTTTATGTCTCTTGTCATTTCTAATGATAATGTGTTAACAGGTACTGTCCACAAAAGCATTCAAGTATTTCCTCTATTTTTCATAGTAATATGTTGTCATATTATTATTCATTGTTTACATCATTTACATACACATAGCAGACACTATAGGTTAACACAAATTAGACAAGACTGCTCAACAACAGAAACATATCTAGGTAAGTACACTACTGCTTTGAAAGAATCCAGGCCATTAATTTAACTGACAGTATAGAAGAAAGGGTTAAAAAAAACAGCATTTAATGTAATGAAACATCTCTTTCTGGTAGGGCCACAGTGGGTCCCTGAAGCTAGCAGGCTGAGATAGCTCATCACTACTGAGTCACATCAGTCTTGGGAGTTGTGTTTGGCTACTGGAGACCAGAACTAGAACCTGGACCTCTCACAGAGGCACGAGGAATTGAGGATTGTTGCAATCACCCTCACTAAAAAAACATTCAGAAAGGAAATGAAGAAATACAAACAACTGGAAAGTTCACAGAAAGCAAGGCACTGAAACAACCAAATTAACTAAATCCCCCTCTTGTTATGGCAGACCACAAACAGTTATTAAGCTCATGAAAATGAGTTCCCAGGACAGGAAACTGTCCCAGACCCAACTGGAACCAGGAATATTGATCAAGTATGTTCATGTTGTTCATGATCCAGCTGCCAGGATCTGTTAGACCTTCAGGACTCCCAAGCCCAAGCATCAACCCACAAGGGAGAAACACTGCAGACAAAGCCTCAAACTTGTGAACATCATGAGCCTAAGTGTAGAGTGCAGGATGGCTAAACTTAATAACACTGCAGATAACCTGGAATAAACAAGACTTGAACAATAAACCAAAGAAATTTGGTCAACAAATAGCATGTCCACCAAAGCTGAACAGGTGGTGAGCAGGTAGCAACAAACCACCACAACTGGTCACCACATGTCAAACCCCTGGCTGGAATAACCAAGCATTAACCCTTCAACTGCTCATAGTGACCAGGGTCCTTTCATCAGTGGAACGCAGAGCAACCAAGGTTGCTTTTAAGTCTAGTATAAGATATAAAACTCCCACAGCTACATAGGTCTCACCTCCACTTTCTCAGGCCTCCAGCAAATGGATGCTATCTTGAAAAAATCATGGGCACTCTTCCTAGTTGAGGAAGGGGGCCTCAGTACAAACACAGCAACCAGGTGTAGTACAATATTTGCAATTATTTATTGATGATTGTGACATTGAAGACCCTGACAGTGATAAAGACTATGTACAAGGTTCAGATATCAGCAAACCTGAGGCTGGTGATGATGTTCCCAATGTGAGGCTGAGAGCTATGGCACACAGTTGCGGCTTGATAACTCTATACATCATTCAATGGAACCTCATGTTCTTTTAGAAAATAAACTTGTGGAAAATTATTCATACTGTATTAATAATTTAGTGACCAGGAATCTTATAATTGTAGTGTTGTGGCTAGAGTTAGTGATGTGCATAGCATATTTTTATATTTTTTTGCTTTTTAATATCAACAAATACATACATGCAGGGCACACCACTATCAAATTAATAACATTACATTACAGCAAATTAAATTCCATTTGCAAAGTGGTGCTTCCCACACTTATTTTGTCAGATCTTCCAGATCTTCTTGAAGGGCATGTGATTACAGCATTATACTGTATTACAGCATTACAGCAAATTAAATTCCATTTGCAAAGTGGTGCTTCCCACACTTATTTTGTCAGATCTTCCAGATCTTCTTGAAGGGCATGTGATCTTTGTCCAGATCTTCTTGAAGGGCATGACAATAGTCTAAGCTTTTTATCTTCCCTAGTAGCTTAGCATCATCAGTAAAACATGTTCATATTATTCTGTATTCCTATTGGCATATGGTTTCTGTAGACAATGAACATGGCTGGTGCAAGAACTGAACCCTGTGGGACTCCATTCGTGACATTTCTCCAGTCTGATACATAGCCTCTGATTGCTGCCCTCATTTCTCTGTTAGTTACAAAAAAATTTCATCCATGTTAGAATCCTCCCTGTCACTCCTACAGTATGTTCTAGTTTCCAGAGCAATCTCTTATGTGGGACTGTCAAAAATCCCTTTTCTGGTCCAAGTAAATGAAGTCAACCCAACTATATCTTTCTTGCAAAATTTCTATAGAACTATCATAGAAACTAAGTAGATTTGTTCCATAGGCTCTTCCTGATCGAAAACCATACTGTATGTCTATTACTGAATTATGCCATTTCTCTCCATGTGTTCTAGCCATTTATTAGTTTAATTATTTTTTCCAACATTTTGCTACTACACTTGTCAATGATACAAGTCAATAATTTAAAGGGTCTTTCTGGCTTCTATTTTCTAAGATTAGAATTATCTTAGCCTTGTTCATATATGTATCTACCAAGACTCCAGTACACAGAGATGTCTGAAAAATCAATTGAAGTGAAGTGATGACCTCAGATGCACATTCTCTCAGAACCCATGGTGAAACTTCATCTGGGGCAACTGCTTTGTTCCTACATAGCTAATTGAACATTTTTGCCTCTTCATCTCGAGACACCTCTATGTACAGTACTCTATGTTATTTTCTGAAATTCGTATTGCGTCCTGTTCTCTGAAAACTTAATTTTGCACAAACATCTTTGGAACTGTTTGTTTAGTGTTTCACACATTTCCTTTCCATTCTCTATGAACCCGTTTCCCATTTTCAACCTCTGAATTTTATCCTTTACCTGTAATTTGCTTTTAATGAATTTATAGAAAGAATGGGCCTGCTTCTGTTTTACATTTGCTCGATATATCTTCTTCAAAATTTCTTTCTCTTTCACTTCTCACTGTCATGTAGTTGTTTTTTGCTTCTTTGTATTGCTCATATGTTTGAGGGTTTGGCCTCTTCCAATACTGATTCCATTTTTTGTCTTTTTTTCTCTGGCCCTCTCTAAATTCCTGTTGATCCAATTCTGTTTTCTAGTTCTGCATCTCTATTTTGGAATACTTTTTTTGTGCCTTTATCATATATCTCGCAATATTTGGCATACATCTCATTTACTTCCTTGCCTAACAACAAGTTTTTCCAATCAAATTCATTAAAGAACTTGCCAAGTTCCCCTTTCCTGAAATCAATTTTTTCAACTGCTTTTCCCTCATTCTCTTCTAGATTATAACACATTGCATATTTTATTTCCAAAAGGACATGGTTACTCTTATCCATGAGAGGAAGGAACTAGATGTCAAATATCTCTTCTTCTTTCCTGGTGAATATCAAATATAGCATTAATAGAACATCTTCCTTCATTCTCATGGCCTGTTTAACATGCTGGAACATTAATGTCTCCAGGATGAAGTTTAAAAATTTGCACATCCAAATGTTCTCCCATTCTTGCTTCATAGGCTTCATAGTCTATTGAACAAATCCACAAGGGCCGTGACGAGGATTCGAACCTGCGTCTGGGAGCATCCCAGACACTGCCTTAATCAACTGAGCTACGACATGGTTAAAAAGAGTTGAAACCATACTGTATGTATGGATTCCAGTAAGTTCAATAAAACTTCGGTTTCAACTTTTTTAACCATGTCGTAGCTCAGTCGATTAAGGCAGCGTCTGGGATGCTCCCGGACGCAGGTTCGAATCCTCGTCACGGCTCTTGTGGATTTGTTCATTTGATGCATCACGTTATTGTGATTTCTGTGTGTTCATAGTCTATTGATGACAAGTTGAAGTCACCAAGTACCAACAATCATGATTTATCTTTATCTGCTCTTACTGCAAACTCTCTCATGATCATTATGAGGCCCTCTTGTTTTCTGTCTAACTTATGCTTTGTCCATGTGTTGCTGGTGGACTGTAGGCATTTATAATTATCAATTTATGATCCTCACTACATATCTCCAGAATCATTATGTTAACTTCTTGTGAGTTATCAATTATTAATTCTCTTACCTTCATGTGTTCTTTCACAAGAACAGCAGCTCCTCCACCTTTTCTAATTTTTCTATCTCGTTTAAAATTGAGTAGCCCCTCAGGAATAAAACCTCATTTAAAATATTATTATCAAGTTTTGTCTCAGTTAGTGCGACTTTCTCTGGCATCTTAAGCTGTATTAGATCATTCAGCTCCACTATTTTTTAACTCACTCCATCTATGTTTGTATGTAAAAGTTTTAGGAACATGTTTCCCCCTCCATTTGAACTTTAATCCCCCCTTGCTCTATTGATTTTGCAAGCAGTTGTTTGTATTGTTTTGTCGGCTTTCTGGATGCTTTCTTGATGACGCTGACTATAACAATCCCCTGCCCCCTGTACCTCGTTGAGGTGTCCGGTTCTGGCTCTAGTCTCCGTATGCTCTAGTCTCTGCTCTAGTCTAGTCTCTAGTCCAAGGCTCTAGTCTCAAAAATTGCTTGAGATACGTCGGCAGTTATGAAGAAAGCTTACATCATCTCACCACCATACCCATACTCCGGTAGGCCAACAAGATTCCTCTGATTGGTGGTTGAGTATTGGCAAGCTATATTGGTAACACAGCTTTGAAGCCACCAGAGCACACCAAGAAAGAAGTATTTCATTACATTCAATGCTGTGTATTTTGGCATTTTTACTTATTTGATTGTGCTTATGTGGATGTTTGACTATGTCTGGTTGTCTGACTGTGGTTGTCTGTATCAGTCTACGTGCCTGTGTTGATTTGCTTGTCAGACTGTGTATCTGTGTGTTTGA